TCTCTTTCTATTTCATTGAAGTGTTTAAACATTAATGGCAGTATTTTCAATCTAAATGTCTTGTAGAATTCAGCACTGAAGCCATTAGGAACTGATCTTTTCTTAGCTGGTACATTTTTAATTATGTTTTCAATTTCATTGATTGATATTGAGTTATTTAGAATTTTTAGGTCTTCTTGGTTCAAGTTTGGTAATTCATATGTATCTAGGAATCTGTCCAATTCTTCTGTGTTTTCCATGTTATTGGGATATAGGTTCTTGAAGTAGTTATTGATGATCCTCTGGATTTCTGCTGGGTTCATTGTAATTTCATCCTTTTCATTCTTAATTGCATGGATGTGCAATTTCTTTCCTTTCTTGATAAGATTTGCTAAGGGCTTCAATTTTATTCTTTCAAAGAACCAACTCTTGGCTTCATTGAGTTTTTGTATCTCTCTCTTAGTCTCCATTGCATTGATTTCTGCTCTGATTTTTATAATTTTCTCCCTTGTATAAGCTTTGTGTATGTCCTGCTCTTCTTTTCCTAGAAGCTTGTGGTTCAGCATCAGGTTAATTGGTCTCACTCTGTTTTCCTAATATGAGTATTCACTGCTATGAATTTCCCTCATAAAACTGCTTTCCTTGTGTCCCATAGATTCTGATATGTTGTATTGTCATTGTCATTTAATTGAAGGAACTGTCTGATTTCTTCTTTAATTTCCTCTGTGACCCACTGGTTAGTCAGAAAGGTGTTGTTCAATTTCCATGTGTGTTCATTAAATTTTTGCGGTCTCTTTTGCTATTGATCTCCAATTTCATTGCATGATGATTTGATAATATACAGGGGATAACTGCAATTCCTTTGCACTTACTTAAATATGTTCTATGAGTGAGTATGTGTTCTAGTTTGAAGACTGTCCCATGTGCAGCTCAAAAGAATGTGTATTCTGATTTTGTGGAGTGGAACACTCTGTAAGCATTTTTTAAGTTCATTTGTTTAAGAGATTGAATTCTTGTATTTTGTTGCTTGTTTTTTGTCTAGTTAATGTATCTCTTTGTGACAGTGGGGTATTGAGGTCTTTCACTACTATTGTATTAATGCTTATATGGTTTTTCATGTCCATTAGTATTTGTTTTATACAGTTGGGTGCACTTGTGTTTGTTTCATAGATACTTATGATTGTCATCTCTTCCTCTTGGACTGTTCCTTTTACAAGGATGTAGTATCCTTCTTTGTCTCTCTTAATCATTGTCGGTTTGATATCCACTTCATCTGTAAAGAGGATAGCTACACCTGCTTTTTTTCAGATTCCCGTCACATGGTGTATTGTTTTCAACACTTTAATTTACTGTCTATGAGTTTCTTTTTGAATTAAGTGTGTTTTCTGTATGCATCATATTGTTTGATCTTTCTTCTTGACCATTTTTGCCAGTCTAATTGTTTTGATTGGTGAGTTGAGACCATTAACATTGATACTTATAACTGATATATTTTGACTTGTCATTGTCATAACTTTTTCTTTTTGTTGGAGTCTCCCCCTTTGCATTTACTTTCCTGTTTTGCCTAAAGGATTCATTTTGCTGGGCTTCCTGGGGTTTAATCCTTGTTGTTTTCCCCTAGAATATTGTCTAAAAATTTTGGAGTGCTGGTTTGATATTCATGAATTTCCTAAGGTGCTCTTTGTCAAGAAAGTGTCTTATTTCTCCATCAATTTTGAAAGATTGTTTTGCAAAGTATATCAGTATGGGTTAGAGACTGTTTTCCTTTCAGGCCTGGAATACATCACTCCAAGCTCTTCTTGCATTTAGGGTTTGGGTTTAGAAGTCTGCTGTGATTCTGATGTGCTTTCCTTCGTATATGATTTGTTTCTTTTCTCCTACTACTTGTTAAACTTTGTTCTTCTGTTGGGTTTCTGGAATCTTAACAATTATATGCCTATGTGCAGGTTTTTTTGGACAATGCCAGTTGCAGTCCTATATGCCTCACTTATCTGAATGTCAAGTTCTTTTTCCCTGCCTGGGAAGTTTGTTGCCATTACTTCTTTGATTTTGTTTTTTTGTCCTTTGCACTCTCACCTGTTTCTTCACTGAGTTTGATTAATCTTATGCTACTCTTCTTTTCATTGTTTAGCAGCTGGTGGATTTTAAAGCAATTTTTCTTTTCCTGGTCACTAATTGCAATCCTCTCTTCTATGTCTGAAATTCTGTCCTCACGTTGGGTCATTCTGTTGCATAGACTTGCAATGGAGTTTTTAATCTGGAAATCTATTTGCATCTGTTTTATGGATTCCATTCATTTCCTATGTTTGGATTCCATCATGTTTCTCAGTTTCTATCTAGATTTATTTATCATGTCTTGCACTATGGGCACAATCTCTGCTGTTACCCGATAAATTATTTCTGATTTCATTTTTTGTTGATCCTCTTTTGTTGCCAGTTCAGGGAGTCCAGGTGGTTAAGAATCAGAGTATTCCATCTTGTTTCCCTTTTGAGTTTGCTGTAATGATCTGGAATTCTGGTTTTGAGTCCTCCTTACATGTTTTCTCACTTTGATGTGGGTGGTTGCTTCTGGGGGTCATGAGGCTCACCTCCTCTATGCTGGGAGTGGTGGTAAGTTGGGCAAGAAGCCTCCTCCTCTGTGCTTGGAGTGGTGTCATATCCACCCCAAATCCTCCTCCTCTGTGATACCTGCAGTTTCATGTCGACCTGGAAGCTTCCTCTTCTGTACTCAATATACTTTACTTTTTATTTAGATGTATTTAAGCATTAGATTTGAGAAAACTGTCACCAAACAGAAGTCCATGAAGTAGAGATGGGGTTTCTTGACTCACCTCACCCACAGGACATGTTGCACATTCAGTAATTTCCATCACTCAAAATAGAATTGTCAGTAAGACACAAAAAGGGATGTATTAGGCAAAATTTTAAAAGTACACAAAGAAATGGAGTGTCTGCCCTCAAAAGTAAGAGTTCCTGTCAAGACCTAGAGCCATGTGTATATATATGGGCAATTTGGTGGGAATATCTGTGGAACTTATGAATGTACAGAGTAAGGGGAATAGATGTGTAGAGGAAATGCCACATGTCTTTCTGGAAGGCCAGGGTGATAGAACATTCATCTCTGCATATAACCATCACAGGTGATGGAGTTGTATCCTATCCGTGGGGCAAGGCCACTGCACAGTGGATGGTGCTCTGTATCTACTCCCAAAGGATTCTGTGAGAAAATTCCTCAGAGTAGATTGCCCAGCTTTTTGCAGAGTCAAGGATGGGTAAATGGAATACATTGACATGAAACAAGGACAGCAGGGACATGGACAGAGTACTCATTATTTTCATGGGGGATATTCCAGAGGTTGAGATGCTCAGGGTGGAGTTTCCAGCTATTTTCCAAAGCTGTGTGAATGTGAGCAGCAACAGTTAATTAGGTTTTAGAGTTGGGTGAGCAGAGATACTGGGAAAACTAGCCAGTTACTTAAAAATCACTCACGTGGGTAGAGTCACCTGTATAGTAGGAGTTTTGGTAGTAAAGTGTGCAACAGTAGAAAGATTCTTTTCCTGGGTCAACACCACATATGGTAACCTGGCACATTGCCAAACTAGCCTCAAGGTCTCAAGCTTTTTCAGCAGCAAATGCCTCAGTTGCCTGTGGTCTGAATGGAACTGCCAGGGACTTCCTGCTGATATTCTTCCTAACAAGACAAGTGCCTCTTGGTTCCCAGATGTTCTCAAAAAACAGGACAAAGCAGGTGTGTTCTTAGTTCTCTTTCTGTAGATCATTGTCAATATCTCTTTTTCAAAATCTTGGCACATCTTCACTTTACCTTAGCACTCTGTCTCACATATTTTAGGGAAATCACTGTTTATTTACTTTGCTTTGGTCCTTTGTTTTAGGAGGAAGGAGTCTAAGCAGTCTACTGTGGGGAGAAATTCTACATAATTTTGGAGAAAAAATCATTTCAGAATTAAATAACTATTAGTCCCTAGTTTTCCTGCCTACAGGTCAGCTACAGCATGTCAAGACATAACTCCATCTTCAACTCCAGTCACACCTAAAATGTCAATGGCCCTGTGATGCTGTTTTTCTCCAGGACAGGATTACACCATCTGAAGACATTCTGGAAGGAACAAAATCTTCCTCTGCATAGTTACTCATTGTTTTAGTATTTTCACCATTGCTGCCACCACTTCTGCTCCCTGAGTGACCTTTTATATTTGATACTCCCCTGATGTACTGAACTTTCTTTTCCCTGAGTCATCTGTTGTATTTGTTTCTCCTGATGTACTGAGTAAAGGTTTGGCAAGATCAGGGCAGTCATCTTTGATTTCCAGAATACCACTGATTGGCCCCAAAGCTCAGTTTCTTCTCTAAGTCTCATTTTTTTTTCAATCTTTTCTGTCTAATAAAATAATTCACATTGTGGCTTAATGGCATTCAGGAGACTAGGAGTCACTGCAGTGGTTCTGGTAATGTTCCCTTTTCCTGTTCACTAAAGTATACTCAGACATCTAGCTGATATCTTGGGAAAGGGTACAGGATATACTACTGAGAATTGAGAATTAGAATGTTACACATCTCTGTAAAAATGTTTTTAAACACTGAATAACAAAGTTTAAATTAGTGAAATGTACATATGTAAATTATACATGATCAAGTTTTTTACAAAACTTTTCTTGAATAATGATATCCAAGAATTGCCTATGACCAGTGTAATTACTGTATTTCTAGATCCAAGTCACAAGATTTCAGGGACAGTCACCTTGTATTTACCACTGCTCTTGAAGAATATCACTTACATAATACAGGTGACTGATGCTTGTTGCTTATTGACCCCAAGCTAGTCAAGATCACTAAACCATAACAGAGAAATTAACTGGTCTCAAATAAACCTGTCATCATTTATATTTGCCTTTTCTTTCTGCTACCAGTGTTCATACTTTATCCATTACATATGTGTACTTTGATCAGGATAAGTTATCCTTTAACTTTTGGTTAAATTCTCCCTAAATATAAACATGAGTAATGATAGAAGATAGCACAATTTGAGAGCAATACTACATTTTATCAAGATGTCCGTGAAATGGATCTCATCTCTGCTGCTACTACAAATGAGTTGTTATTTCAACTCTGGAAGTTGTGGAAAGGTGCTGGTATGGCCGATGGAATACAGCCACTGGATGAATATAAAGAATATACTAGAGGAACTTATCCATAGGAGACATGAAGTGACAGTTCTGAGACCTTCAAGTTACATTTTTGTTGATGTTAATTCATCATCTGGAATTAAATTTGAAACATTTACTACATCTGCGAATAGAGATCAATGGGAAAATTTTTTCATTCATGGAATCACTCGGTTGATTAATATTGGCTCCAAAGATTCATGTATTACATATTTTTCAGAAGTAGAAAACATTTTCAAAGAATTTTCTGAAACTTGGCAAAATTTCTGTAAAGAAGCAGTCTCAAACAAGATACTTATGAATAAACTCCAAGAATCAAGATTTGATGTCCTTCTTGCAGATGCCATTGGTCTCTGTGGTGAACTGGTGGCTGAGCTACTAAAAATACCTTTGGTGTACACTCTCCGGTTCTCTCCAGGCTACAAAATAGAAAAAAATGGAGGAGGCCTTATACTTCCTCCTTCTTATGTACCTGTTGTAATGTCAGGACTAGGTGGTCAAATGACTTTCATGGAAAGGGTAAAAAACATGATATGTATGCTTTATTTTGACTTTTGGTCTGATCCGTTTAATGAGAAAAAGTGGGATGAGTTTTACAGTGAAGTTTTAGGTAAGTCATGCTTTTAATTAGTAGAGTGAGGTCGTTACTATCTTGTGCATTTTCAAGTGAACTTGGATGAACATAAAATAAGAGAACTTTGTATTTTATATGTACATGATGAAGGAAAAAAGTAAAATTATTTGTCAATTGGCAGATATAAAAGAAATATTTACATTATGTGGTCATATTGCAGCCATTTGGGTGTAACTCCTATAGACCATTCCAGGAGGTCACACAATTCTACAGTGAACCATTCAGGCATTAATTTTGGAATTTCTTATCAATTATACCTTCTTCTTTTTTTTACAATTAAATTAATTAGGCACCTCCCTAATATCTTTATGAATGAAGACAATTAGATTGAAGAGTTACCCATTTTTCAAGCAAAACTATCTAGTAGCATTGAGGGAACTGTTTTCTCATGAGTAGATCAATTTCCTTACCTGAAATAATTACTTTTTGTTTTCTATCTAAAATATACCTTTACTTTTGTGAAATATACAGTGTTTTATCCCAGACTCAAAAAGTATAACTTGCATATTCCAATGATTCAACATTCTCAGATAAGTCCTTACCAATCATCCCTTTTAAAGTTTTAAAATCTGTAGAAATATGGACATCTATGTGATTTTTTCATTACATTTTTCCATTTGACAGAAGAATGAGCCCAAACTCAGTTTCTGTAATGTCTACAGATTTTCCCAGAGATGATTCATAATGCTTGCAAATGATAAGTACATAATATTAAGCTGCTAATATAAACCAAAAGCAAGGGCATTAAAAAAGTTGAGCCATAGTCTTATAGACCTCACACTCTACTTGGATCAGGGACTAGCCTGGTAAATGCTAGACATGAAGGAATTTCTGAAAAACTTGTTCCAATATTTTACTAGGATTACTTGAACCTGAAGCTGGAACATTTGTTTACATTTGCATCTGTTATGTTGATAGATTTAGAGAAACAGGAATATATACAGGAATATATAAACAGGAATATATAATTGTAGAATAATTTTTGATGACTGCTTGTTAATGTGAGTATACTGAAGTAATATTAGAGACATAGTCTTATCTCATTATTTCAGAAAGACACAATTGAGACATGCATACAACATAAAAATTTTATTGTTAATATGTAAATATAATTTGGTCAATGAACAGTCAATTTGTACTTTATTCCTACATCTTTTAAAATGTATTCTATATTCACTCAACAGTTATGTAATTGCCCAGTTTTGTATTTTTTTTTCTTCCGCCGTTCAGGAAAACCCACTACATTATATGAGGCAATGGGAAAGGCAGAAATGTGGCTCATTCGAAGCTATTGGGATTTGGAATTCCCTCACCCCACCTTACCAAATTTTGATTTTGTTGGAGGACTCCACTGCAAACCTCCCAAACCTCTACCTAAGGTAAATATAGTCCTGTATTTAGCTTTATTTTTAAATTTCTGTAGGAATGCTCTGGATTATTCATTGAGAGTCTTGACTCACAGTGAGAAATATGTGGGAAACAGACAAGTATCTTGCCAATTGAAAAGCCATATTTCTTTTGGGAATGGTAGCACATGCCTATAATCCCAGAACACCAGAGGCTGAGGCAGAAGAACGACCTGTTGAACCAAACCTGGGCAATATAGCAAATAAAGACAGCCTTGACTGTAGAGAAAGACCCTGTTTAATAAAAAGAACACTTTTTATATATCTATTCCAGCAGAAGTATCTGCATTTCACTACCATTACAGAAAAATATGAGATACTTATGAGGTCCTCAGAATAGAGTCCATTAATTATGGTTATTCATTATTCCTCAATACTATTCATTTGCTCATTTAAAGTCTACAAAGTGACTAGTGTACATGGCCAGTAAGTGTAAAGTAATCCTAGAAACAGCATAGACACAGTGTCCTCTTCTCCCATAAATCTTGCATGATATTTTGAAAGATAGAGTATATTTAAGCAATAAAAGCTGTGTGAAACATATTTTTAAAGGAAAGAATTGTATTACTAAGAAAACTTTCAAATGGGATTATAAAAACCATGCCAGAAAAATTAATAGCAATGATGATAATAAATGAACAGGGTGCCAGAATAGGTAAGGGATGAGGGGTAGAGAAAAACACAAAACAGACAGCAGTTAGCAGAGTAAGAACAATTCCCAAGAACTGCAAGCTTATTTTATGTGGATGCTAATTTTGTTAGATAGCTAATTTAGAAACAGATGGCAGTCAAAAATATCTAATAAAATAATTTTTTACACCAAAAAAAATTGAGCTAAGGAAACAGATGATCTGATTTCCCTTTTTTAAACAAAAAAAAATTGAAGATGCCATTAGCGAATTAGATTGCAGAGATGCAGAATGGTAGAAATGGGAGGCATTTAGAGGGTAGCTGTAAGTGTTCAGGCAACACATGATTAAATGCAGACTAAGGTATGCATACAGGTTGAAAATCTACTCAGATAATCACAGTAGAAGGTCAAATTGACTGTTACGGGGATAAAATGTAAAATAGTTAAAAGAAAGTATTTGTAGCATTTAGTAAGTGTTTCAGAATTAAGAGTCATCTATTGATGTCACTGCTATCCTATTATTATTTAATATTTGATAAAATAATGAACTGAAAATCCAATAACTTAAGATGATAATCTCATGTAAATTCATACTGAAAAGATCCTACTGATTTCTTTGAAAATAAATGCATAATTTCAGGCAATAAGATGAACAAGATCAAATGAGTGAATTTTATCAGAAGAACTGAAGTTCTTTGTTAGTCTTCTAGCTTACAAAAAAAAGTATTGGTCAATAGTATACCTGTGAGGCCCCAGCAATACTTGTTACCAACCCTAACATCTTCTTGCCTTTCTGATAGCATTGAAACCATTCCTCACTTCAAGTCCTAGATTTTTACTTCTCAGTGTACAAAGGAAAGGATTACTTTCTTAAAACAAGTATTTAATGCCCTTTGCCAAGCCTGTAGCATACCTCAGTAAAGATCCCTCAGGTGACATGCTCTTGGCATCAACGTGACCTAGCAAAACAAGTGCAGAGTAAAGGTGCACCGCTTATGTATTAAACACTTCATAATCCCTGTGATTTTTCTGACAATTGATTTGACGTGAATCATGAAATTATTCTGGCAGTATATACAGTGAGATTCATTAAGAACAAACACAATCATACATTTTAAATTGACATCATACTTCTAAGGACTATATAGAAATGAGGCATTTTGTATTGTTTCAGTATATGTGATCATTTAAGAAGTCTTTTTTCTTTACCTTCTTATTTGCAACAATAGAAAACTGAAATATGAATATGTGACTAAAATGCAATATCTTTTCTTTTATTTTTGGAATGGGGTTTTGAACTCTGGACCTTGTGCTTGTGAGGCAGGTGTGGTACCACTGAGATAAATCCCTGCCCCTACAATATCCTTTTACAGATGCAATTATTTAGACTGCACAATAACTCCAGAACTCAAATATTTGAGACATTATTAGTGCATTACTAAGCAATATATCTATATACTTGGATTTTTGATTAAAAAGCAACAGTGTTAGAAGGACCAGGATATAGAAGAAAAGGACAAAGAAATAACTCTAAAAATGGCAAAATTAATAATTATAGCTCTTATTAAGTTGCAAAAAATAGAATTTTAGAAACTTGCATCATTTTAACAAACGTTATACCCTTAGGTATAAGATGTTCCTTTCAATATATGTGAAGAAAATCAATCAAGATGCACAAAACTATCTAACTAGTAATTATGTACAAAAAACCCCTGAGAAGTAACTTAAACCTCCACTTTTAGGGAATGATTAAATAATGAAATATGTGTCTAATACAAATCTCAATTGTTTTACTTAAGAAAACTTGAAAACACTAAATTAGCCATAATAG